AGAAGTAAAATGCATACTTCAAACAGATTCCATGTGTTGGAATATGTAGCATGAAGCATGTGAAGACAATAATATGGAAATGGAAGATTCCAACCAAGAGGATGTCACCATAACCAGAAAAATGAAGAAATCACCAACCTTTGTATTGCATGCGAAAGTCGAGAGGTATGGCAACATTTATGAAAGCGTTGGAAGACCTACTAAAAAAAAATTACCATATAAAATACCACAACGACTTGGTAGAAGTATTCACTACAACGCAGGAGTAGTTCAAGTTACTAAAAGAAATATGAGACAACAGAGAAATTTAAGTTTCCACACATGTACAGATAAAAACGAAAAAAGGAGAACCTTTGTTATGAAAGAGGTACATGAACAAACAGACTATCAAAATATAAAACAAAAACTCACAGAATTAGGTTATGAGGTATTCAATATAAACATTACGAAGAATGCAACACAACTAAAGTTGTTGAAGCTACAAGTGTATTTTTATTGTAAAAAGCATTCACCTTCTCTACTTGATAATGACGTAGGGCAGTTTTTAAGAAGCCCTTGTAGATTTTTAGCGAGTAGGCATATTGTCACGAAGGACAACCGTTAAAAAGTGTTTTTATAAAATTAATTCCCCACATCCTAAAACTATGCTTTGGCGGCTGTGATGGCTTTGAAGCGTGAAAAGGAAAGGAGAGAGAGCGCTCGTCCTGGGCCTGCTAGAGAACTCGTTATTACGGCTACCTAGCAGACCCTGCCTTAAACGCGGGGAGAGTTGATGGTTGGCTAAGGACGTATATACAGGATACAGGGTGTCCCAAAAATGTCCTCCGACCCGGAAATGGGGCACTCGGGGGGTGAATTGGAACAACTTTTTCCTTAGCAACAATGTAAACTGAGGCTTCGTTACCGAGATATTAACGAAAAACCGCGACCAATCAGAGCGCGAGTTTGCCATCCGAGTTCCCGCGCTAGCGCTGGCTACGCGCTATGCTTGTACTACGAAGCTCCGAACAAGTAGGTCACCATGCATCGCAGGAAACCGCGTATATAATAGCAAATAAACAAGACGTAACAAATAAAATCATACTTTTTATCATCTGTCGTTTGCTATTTAAAGAGATTAATGAATGAAACGTAAATGTAGGCAAATTATGTGTAACGTAAAAAGACGAATGCACATTTATATTTTTGTAAATTCGTTTTTACGAATTTGTAAATTTCCTTTTCATAATAACGTGTGAACTTAAAGATAATGTAACAGAGAATAAACGAGAAGTGATTGTAGTTCGGTGAAATTAATAAAACAATAATGACCAATAAACTGAATAGAACTCACCCTTACGGAAATTCACCTGCAGCGTAGAAACCTGCGTCAGTAGGTCAGTGTACCGAGCCTGGGCATCGACGGACGAAATGGTTTATGGCAGGGTAGAATCCATGGTTAATCCTTCGAATATGTATTCCACTACTGCACTGCACTAACACTGATTACCCGACACCATCATTTAATTCACTTTTCATTGAACCTGTTGTTCCTACGTTCTGAACAATTGGTGGTCCCGAAAGGGGCCGATTTATATTAATTTAGGAGGTGCTCAATATGACCATCGTCAGTGGACACGCATATTTCAGCGCGGCGAATAATATATATGTATATATAAATGAGGAAGGCTTCAGGTAGTTGCGGGAAAGGTGTCAACTCGGTAGACCTCTAGTGGCGAATGTAGGAGGTAGTGTTGTCACAATGCATTATTATTTTGCACGACATAGTATTGCACGTATATTGTGGCTTACACGCAATATCCTTCAGTTACACCATTTACCAGACGTACTAAGTAAGCATATGTAAGTAGCAGGCCCTAGTTGTACCTATATTGTATATTCAATGTTGTACAACGATTCGTATATGGTACGTACCATGAGACACCGTATGTGACCACATCAGCTGCGGAGTAAGTGGAACTATATGGGCGCTTCTGCTCTGACAGTTACCGACCATACTCCGAGCGTGTTTTTTTGTAGTAGAATAATTCATCGTACCAGATGTATTTCTCGCGTATTTCGCCCGTATTTTTAACAATTAGTAACTCGGAAACGGAGCTTCTAACGTAATTTCATCATTCTTGATTTTCGTTTTTGTTTGTCATGTATTGTAGAAACCACCTTGTGAAAATGTCTCATATTTTTATTACCCTCTATGTATATATTTATATATTGAATTAAGACATTCTCTGTACATGTGTAAATATTAAACAAATACAAATAAATATCGTGGAAAAACACAATTTGAAATTTCACCGTCGATTTAAAGGTTGCGTTGTTAAAGAAATTGGGCGAAAAAGAGGACAGGACTTGATTCGCTGACTCGTGTGCCCTATTCATTCCGTAATTTTCTGCCAATCGAATGTTTCCCAGTTCCATTTCTACTGTTCCTTTTTTGCTTCAATCACGATGTTGTTACCTAGTTGAGACGAATGATAAAAATATTCAGATTCTTGAAGCAAATGAAATCGCAACTACGAACCTCGAGGTAATTTCGATTGATTAACAGTGACCATCATTCAAGAATAATATGTAACTTTTCATGAAAGTTTAGTACAAAATTATTGCTAAAAAGTATTTGACTTACAATCTTTTACCGACAATAGCTCGCATCTACAAATCAAAAACGTGTTCTTCACTTCTGACTGCACTTTATAAAACAAATTTCGATTACGAAAGGACCAGTTTTCAACTAATGTAAGCTTTAAAAGTTTATTTAACTCTGGGAGCTCAGTTTTGAGACATATTCGTTTTGTCAGCTTGTGTAGAGAGTTATTGAAATACCCATACTTGTCTGCAGGGCAGAATTTTGTTTATATTTTTTCAACAACAAAGTATATTTATTATATTTACTTAGCTTAACAAATACTACAAATGAAGGTTTTCTTCTTCTGGCATAACAATTTTTTTTATCTAACCTCCTAGAATAATTACACTTTTAAAAAACAAGTGAAATTATTCGTTAATTATTAGATTTAGAGCTAATAGAGGTGAACACTTTTTTATTCAGAATTCAAGACTCCTCGATATTTTTGGCATAAAAAATACGGCATTTCATTTAAAATAACGAAGTTGACCTTCAAATCTCCGATACGCATCCATCTGCAAAAATATTATATGTATACGTAATTTATCCCTCCAAACGATGCAACTTTTGTATAAAAAATTATTTCACACAATGAATACTTTAAAACTTATTTAAGGTGTTCTAGTTACATGGACTCTGTATATACAGTTCGCGACACTTATTGTTAGTTAAATGCAGCGCTATTTTTCTTATATTATAGGGACCTCGCGATTATTGTCCCGAACTCGGGTTCGCGCCGGGACAATAATCATGGATAGGGATGCCAACTCTGTCGAGTCGCAATAAAGGACACTACAAAATACAGGGTGGGAAAATAACTATGTCTACTTTGAATATTGCCGTTATTTGTAATAATATGAAAAAATGTTATATACAAAACTTATACGGTATAAAGTGGCGCAATATTGTGACACAAATATTTTCTGCGTGGGTGAAGGCATAGAGGAGATTTCAAGGTCATCTTTGTTTTTTTTAATGGAATGCTACGTTTTTTTTATCGCAATGTGATAGCTGGTGTTGAAACGACTTCGGCGAGCTATCATTGAAGGTCATGCAAGGTCAAATGTGGTAGTCAAATAAACTTTCTTACATTACTCTTAACTAGCTCTTTTGCTTAAAGAAAAATGTATTTGTTTCTGCCTATAAAATAACCGGGTCCCTTGAGTAGGTATAAAATACCAGCAGTCAGAAGAACGGTACGGTTTCCTCTAGAAAAAATTAAAAATATTGTCTTTTCAATTTTTTAAGGTATTTTCTTTAATAACATCAAGAAATACATTGAATAAGTTTGATTATTTCTGAGATATCATATACGTCAGCATTGCCACAGTGAAAAAAGCTGTACGTAGCCAGACACACTTTATTTTGTTTTTAAAGGCATAAATCATTGAAAATGTGTGGGTTTTGTTAATAGAGACTGTTGGTCGTGTTTCAAATTATACTGCAATATTAAATATTATGCAAAAATGTTGTAACTCTGGGAAAGGAGGAAGCGACAAAATTCAATTTTTTTCTTGTAGGGCAAGTGCCCCCCCTCTCCCCCCACCCCCCTGACTACGCCCGTGTACGTCAACTTAAAGGACATAGATTCAAAAGAGTGTGCACACTTTCTAGAATGAGTGTAATTTATATAATAAGGTTTATGATACATTTCATATACTACATTTCCGTCTAAAAAATTAAGAGGTAATATTTGTATTTAGTGTCCTTTTAACAAGGGAGCATACCGGACTGAAAATCACCGATTCTTATGCAACTTCGTTAGAACGTAAATCTCATGAAAATATTTAACATGTAGTTTTTTAGCAGCCATCATCCATTTTGAAGTGCAAAAATGAAACTCTAATTCATCCTTATTTTTTTACATGACTATATACATACATAGTTTCCACATACAAATGTACAAGAAAATGGTTTCACATTTGACCCAAAATATTAACAAAAAATGCCATTTTTGAATAGATTTGTTCTAAACAAATGGATTTTTTGAAATCTAATAATATAGCTGGATTCTTCATCAAGAAGTGCACAATATTGCCATTTAAACCGTTTTTCTACCCCTAACCGTTACCGAGATATTTGACCAAATATTGTTCACACCCTTAACTTTGTCCACTATTTTCACCACGTCAACGTGGATAATGACAACTACAAAAATACGTGTCATATATTTTCATGAGAACTGCTTTGTCTAACGAAGTTACATAAGAAACAGGGATTGTCATTTCGGAGAGCTCTCTTGTAAGTTAAGAAAAACCTTCATTATTGTACATAAATAAATGTGTTAAGTGTAGAGACGCATGCATATTCAGAATATGCCCAATCTATCGATAAGAGAGCAGAAGAATGATTATTTTCTGTGTATGTGACGCAGTATTACATGCGGCAGGGTTGCGTGGCCGTGATGTCGACTACGTGGATAGCAAGCGTGGCGATTTTTGGTGCTCTCGTGCTTCCAAGAGGTGGTTATTACTTCAACGGCTCCGGTCTTCTCGCCTGTGATCCTTTCTTCGCCAGAGCTTCCCTCAGGTATTGTTAAATTACGTTTTTTTCACTTATTCTATAACCTTCTATTATTATACTTTCATTGCATGTAATTCATTACCACAATGAAATGAATCATTATTCAGTTAATTGGAAGCTCACTGTTTTTAACATGCACAGCAATATGTATACATATACAGAGTGGGTCTCGTAACTTCAAATAACTCGTATGTTACGTCCCGCGTTGCGGTCGTTACTTTATTTATATTTTCGGGTCCTGGCTCTTTTAAGGTGCTAAAGCACGCCCTGTCTAAATTTACCGGTGATGTACGTAATCAGGATATGGAACGGGAGGGATAGGAAATCACTCTCGTTTACAACAACAACAAGATATATTCTAACAATGAATAAAATAAAATATACAATTAAATCTTAACATACCAATGATGATGAATGATTAACGCTTGCGGCTGGTTCAGTCGGAGTTTTCGGGTCCTTGAAGGGGCGGAATACTTGCTGGTGCTCGGAGCCGTGATGCAGGGGTCGGGCACTGCGGGATACGTTGTCACCGTCTCGGACGTCGCACTCGCGGTCCGGTGTCTTATCGAACTCGCCTGCTAGGCCGCGCGTTATCGCAAAGTCGCGTCGCACACGGAAGAGATCTTGTCTCGTGACCCGATACTGAACAGCCGAGTGACCGCCGTCGCTCAGCTCGCCGTTACGCGTAAAGGAAAAGTAGACGAAGCACCGTCTAACGCGAGAGTCGAAATCGTGAGGTTAACTGAGGAACAAAAAAGAGAGGTACAAGAGCCCAGGTACAAGAGAGGCTTGCCCGGTTAGGACGAACGTTTTATAATGTTTTCCCCCCTACATTTATCGAAGAACGTGGGAGCTAATGGGTAGCAACCAGCTATCGTTCGTCGTGGCGGAGTTTAAGATCGCTGACGTTTCTGTCAGCGTTTCGATGAAGGACAACCTCGCCTGTTGCTTCCACGTGCCGCTGATTTGACGGTTTTCGCTCGCTCTTCGCGTTGCGAAGTAACAGGAGAAAAATATGCAATGGAAAGAGGTAATATTCCTAACCGGATGTAACACCCCCCACCTTAGACTCGAAATAGTCTCAAGAGGCTTTTTCGAGATTTTCCTCTGTTCATTGCGCATTTTTCGGGATGAGAATGACTTATATTTAAATGAAATCGCAGTAAGGAGTGATCGCAATAATAGTGGTGGTGGTAATGATACAGTAGTAACAAATTTTGTTAGTAGCGGTAGAAGGAAGTTGCAATGATTATTATAGCGCAATTAATGAGTGAAGTATAGGTGTAATGTATGTACATTTATTACGTAAAACAAAAAAAAGGAATATAATGCTTATAGATAAATGATTATAATATAATGTAGAAGTAAGAGAAAACAATAATAAAAAAAAATTATGTGCTTATAAGTAAATGGTTATAATATGGTGTAGTATAATAGAATCTAGTATACAGTAAAATGGGGAATAAAAAAAAAATTGTAAAATATATTTAATAAGGGGCCTAATTTTGGGAGGGCGGGGCAGCCGCTTCTTCCTCTTCGGTCTGGGTCCCGGTGTCCGTCGTCTGTATTTCGAATCTGGGCGGTGCCGCCCTCAGCCGTGGGTAGGCGGCCCGGTGTGCACGGGGTACCGTGAGGTACGTTCGCAGGCACCCCGTGCAATTCTCGTTGCCTCTCTCGGTTAGTATCTGGTCTCGGCAACGCGTGCACCGGGTTGCGTGCCACTCCCTATCCTCCATGATTAGGTAATGCTGCGGACCCCAATGAAACTGCTGGAGGTCTTCCTCCTCATCCAGCCGTGCGCAGCTCCCGCAGAGTATTTGACATTCGTATCTGGGTTCACCAGGGCCTTCCCCTGAATACACCTTCGGCGCTGGAACCCTGCTTGATCCCTCGCTCGCAGGATTGCCTCAGCCAGCGAGGTTGGGCCCGGGGTCCTCCGGTCATCGAGGTGCGGGTCCATTCGCAGCCGAGGGTATATAGCGTTGTGTCCCATGATGTTTGACGGTACACCGACAAGATGTTTGATAGCTTTGAATGCTCCTGGCCAATTCGCGCTGGTTTTATTAGTTTCTCCCTCCTTGCTTCTGTCGGTCGGAGTCTTCGCTGTTAGTGCTGACGGATGAGAAACGGTTGCTGTCGGCGGTTTCGAGCTAGTATATCTCTATTGCCTTATATGGTTCGTGCAGGTGTATTTCGTGCATTTCCATCCAGGTAGGTATGGTGTGGGGAGTTGCTATGCTCGGTAGCGGTGCTGATATAGCTATTTTGTTGCGTACGGATTTCTCGTGTCCCCGGGTGGTTCCACGTTTCCTGTACTTCTTATAACAAAATATACCGATTGCTGCAATTACAACGACTCCTATTGTTCCTGTCGTTGCCGTGGCTCCCTGTACTCCGTATGTAATAATGTTTTGCACCCCCTCATGAGCAGCTAGAATTTTGGATTCCCTCTCGATGTTCTCCAGGGCGATGGTGTTTCCTAAGGAGTTATCGTTGCGGAGGGTTTCCAGATCTTTATTTGTTTGGTTTAGAATGGCCAAAATATGGTAGGGCGTTATTGTGGGCATGACGTATGTTATGTTGATGTTTCCTACCGGATTGTAGGTTTTGTTGATATGGGACGTGATCGCGTTGGTTGCGGTTAGAAGGGATGTTCCGATAGTGGCTTTGCAGCCCTGCCGGAGTGAAAGTATTCCTGTTCCCTTTACGTCTTCGTGTGCTATCAACCTACCCTCGCATTTTACTTGTAATTTTCCTATCGTTTTTATGGAGTATAACCAATGATTGGAATGCACCAATTTCTTTATGTAAACAGGTCCGATGGTAGCCATGTAAATATTACAGCTAGACCAGGAGATTTTATCTTAGGGCCGAGCGTTTGGTATGCTGGCAGAGGATATAGACGATATAGTTTAAAAGGTGCGCGATCTAAGAGTGGAATTTCCACTGAAATAATTATTCTATCGGTGGCATACGCCAATTTTAGATGTGTAATCGTTTGCATCCTTTCGGTTAAGATTTCTTGTTTTGTTAATGGGAATTCGTATTGTGAATTTTGCCGAATTTTTTCACATATTACCTCGAGCTGGTTTGGCGATATTATCGCGGGATGCAAAATTCCTAGTTTCGCGAATGTAATTGCGTCAATTAAAATTGTTAAGCCTCTAATATACTCGTCTGTTTGCCTGTTAAGATGGTATTCCCATTTACTCGCCGCTGATTTTATTTCCGCTGTGCGTTCTCTCCTTTCTAATTTGCAGAATTCCGAAGTAAGCTCGGTAAGTCTGGAACTCATTCTCGTAGTCATATTACGAAGGTGATCTACTTCGGAGTGTACGTTGCAGAATTCCGATCTAACTATACGAGTCTGGTTTCCGAGCAGTTCGGCCGCGCGTGCCTCGCTCTCGTGGATTTTTGCTAACTCGGCATTGTAGAAGTGTGCGTCGTTCTCGTCGAGTGTGCCGAATAGGAATCGACTGACCGTTCCTATGAATCCTAAAGGGCCGTTTCTTTTCCTACGAGAAGGGTTGGGAATTTGTATAACGTTATTTACGAGATCTTCGTACGCTTTGGCTTCGGCTAATTTGCGGTCTATCTCTTTCGTGTTTGTTTCGTCCCCACAGGTCTTATCGTCATACGCAGCGCAGATTTCCCCCACTTGGTTTATTTGGTTTCGAATACTTCGTCCAATGCTCAAGAGATTGGCGATTTCTAGCGAAGTTACTAGTTTCCAGGTTGTTTCGTTCGAATCGCGGAGGGTCACCGCGATCCGAGCGGGATGCCGGGACCGTCCCGACGAGGACGCACAGTGAGAGAAATTAACGCGAGTGTTGATTGCGGACGCGCGGGTCGTAAATCCGGCGTTTTACGTTGCGGACGCGCGGGTCGTAAATCCGGCGTTTTACGGAGATAGAGAAGACGATACACTAACAAGGGGGGAGAGGAAAGGACGTGGAATTGTCCAGATCTGCTCAGACCCTGAGGAGATCACTCAGTACAGAGTGGGTTTCATCATCGCAGTATCCTTTGACGGAAGTGGATGATGAAGGAATGAAAGGGAAGGGAGACGAGGGCACGGCGGCTCGGAAACGACGGGTTTCGGATGCGTGGCCTCGGGAGCGAAACGACAGGTTTCGGTAATTAATCGCGAGAGCGCGGAAAACGACTGGTTTTCGCGGCACAACTCTCGGACATTTGGGAATGAACCACGGAATGTGGCTTTAACGGCTCGTGACGTGTTCGCGGTTGAGGAGCACTATACGAACCGCGTGGTCGCGTTTTGAGAGGACAAAGCGAACTGAACCGATGTCGAGCGATCGAAGTGAACTTGACGCGACACGATGTTGATTTTCGGTCGACGCTCACGGTCACGGCGGCAGGTAGAATGCGGATGTCCCCGTCCCCCCTACGCCGCGACACAAACATACACGGCCTTCGCACGAGGAGCCGAACAGAAGCGGCCGACCGAATACAAGTTCAAACACAGGTCACATGCGAAATTCGTACGGTAGGGAGTTCTTCGTAATACAGACCGGAATTATGTTTGAATTAAGTTATTTCGTAGTCTTTTGATGCTTGCGCTGATGCTGTTATAATCCACATGATTCCAAACAGGATCCCGACCCGAGTTGTCATTTTAAACACGATTTGGGACGGAATAGGGCAAATCTCTAAAACTTTCATAATTAATTTCCTGGGAAGGAGAGTGAGGAATTTGTTAGGAAATTGGAATGGATGTTTAACAGCGTCGATCTTTGAACGAATCCATGCTGACCGTTGCACTACTTGCTGACTTCGTGATTTGAGTTACCGTCCTTCGCGACTAGAGTCGTCAAGGAGGTTTTAACCTGACGTAAGCATGTTTCAGCTTGTCCAAGTGTTTCGCTATTTTCTTACCGTTTCCTGCCAATAAAATCGCATTATTTTGCTCTGAAATTTCGCAAATTCTTTAAGGACCCTCGTAATGTTGATCGAATTTTGATAGACGAGGTTCCTTTAAAACGTAG